ATCAGTTGCCACTGGTGCCATAACCTATGCACAGTGGACGCCCTTTACTTCTCCTCCTTTCCCATATGGTAAACCTTTACCAGAGGAAGGTGAAATATGAAGCTCTTAATATTACACCTGGTGCTATTGGCATAGAACAAACAAACAGGAAAATCAGGGAACTGAATCAGGATTACTACAGATGGATCATGGATCATTTTCCATCCATGTTTAATACAGCTCTGACATTGTCTCTGCTCTTCCAAGTCATACATTTCTAGTCAAAACTGTAAACATGTTTCTTTCCAAAGGATGCTTACTTGGGAACCTTTCCACTGGCAACAAGGCTTTAATTTAGAGTTAGGGATGGAGCTTTTCAAGCAACATTACTCTTTCTGCTTATAAGCATTTATTCAGATCTTCTACATTGTATACCTCTTCCATTACTGATTATGCTCATACTACAGTCTACAAAGTGTGATAAAATATCTTTTAGAAATTTTTCAAGAAAATGGTCAGCATATACTTCAAAGAATAAACAAACAAGGAGTGCAATGCAATGTCTGATTTTCCACCTTGTAATGGTAAATGTCTTGGATTTCTAAACTTTAAATTCTATCTCTCAGGAGGTTGAAATATATAACTCTGAGAGCTTCAGAAATAAACAAAACCTGGTTTCTGATGTATCTGTGCTTTGGAGACTACAAAAAATATCTACACGAGATTTTTTTCCATTGGAGGGTCCATCAGCTTAGTGTTGATGTTGATGTGTTGCAAAATTAAACACTTCTTTTTAGATCAGAGCCTTATACCAGTATTTTCCTACAAGTTAATTAACTTCTATACTTTGATGCTTCGTGAAATTTCTTTGCAATGAACAGAAACATCACATATGCACATTCACATGCACTCACTCATATTTAATACAAATGCTAAAGTTTTGTATCTCCAAGAACTAATTCCTAGAAAAACAGAGGCTTACAGCTTCTCCCTCTGCAGATGAAAATGCAGAAGTATAAAAAGTGTTTGCTAAACAATCTCAAATATTTTTCAGAACAACAATTTAATTATTTTTCCATTCCTCAACAATCTTCAAATTATATTTTAAAAAGCTACATAAGCATTGTTTATAGTCATAGTTTCTCTCCTTCAACAAAATTTAGCCATTTAAATCCCATACAGTCGATTCATCTTTTTAGATCAGATAAACTTGCAATGAACTTGTGATTCTTCAGGGTCTGCAACAGTGGGCTGTCTTCAGTTTAAACAGCTGTGTTGTTACGATTTCTTTTTACTTGTGACTTCAGGGTATCCATTTGCTTCACAATTAAGATCATAGCACCTACAAACGTTCAGCTAACCAGATTGTTAATTGCTATGTTTGCTTTATACTTCCTTGTATAAATAGAAAATATTCCTCCTGAAACTGAATGGTTCAAAGGTTCACATTATCTTCCTGACATTTCTCAGGTTACTCACTTTTTACTTTTCCTTCTACTCCGTGTCTGGAGATATTCCTGATAAAAGCTTGCATACCCCATGTTATCTCTTCTAGTCTCTTCTTTGATGAAAGCTTTTGTCTTTGTGGAAACTAGTGTTGAATGTTTTCTTCAGAGGCAGCCAGCAAAAACTGAACTAGTTTTAGAGCAAAATCATCAGTAACAAAGAAAGTAATCTTATGTTTAAAATAAACTGAAATAGAGTAAAAATGTTATAAAATACACCTTACTATTATTATTATTTGCAATTCCTAAAATCACTATTTGGTTTTATCTATTAGTTCCTATGTATGCGTCTGAGATTCACCACTGGTAAGTTACTTTTGCTTTCACCTCTCCTAATAATTTTATCCAGTTCATCTGAATCCTCAAATTCCCTTAAGATTGTCTTTAGATAAAATTAGAAGCATAACTGAAATGAGAGCATTCCTCTGTAAACATACAATAGAATGTCAGCACTTCTGTCATCTGATTTCTGACTGGAATTTAATATATGAGCTGTGAATAGCTTGTGACCTGTCCATAATGTGGGATTCATCTTAATGCAGACGCAACGGAGCCAATTCCTCATTACAGTCAGAAGAGATGAATGAGAACTTTCAGGGCTCACTTCATCTCACACCAAAGTATACGTATAGGGTGATTGTACTGCAAGATACCTTTATGCATTTTTCTCCATGTAAATATTTGGAGAAATTTATTATTTTTCTCCATTATATTTTGTGAGGAAACTTAGGTTGATTAGCTCAGATGCCTATGTCTATAACAACCAAACTCTCAAGCTGAGAGACCGCTTATTGTCTCTGAAACGTCTCAATTTTTACTCATGTTTCATCTTGATCATGTTGTTTTCATAAGAAGGTTGTTGAAAAGTGGCCAGTAAATGGCCAGAACTTTGGACTGTACTCTAGCCTCTTGGCAAGTAGTCTGGACATGCTGCCAAACTCATTAGTTCCCGTGAAATTGCACTAGGGTGAAGAGGTCTTTAGAAATCCATTTCCTATGACGCAATCTATGACCCTGATGTCTCAATCAAGGGTAAAGCTAATTTATTGAATATACAAGAGAGAACCTCCAGTTCAGGTATTCTTTTACTGATCACCTGCTTGATCTTGTTTTAGCCATAAAGTAAAAATGATTCTCCACTGATACTGCGTAGGATTGTCAGTGAAGTCAATGAAGATAAAGCATTATCAACAGCTGCAATTGTTCATGAACAAGCATATTTACAAAGATCGTTTTTTGATTAAACACTTGTTTTCTGTCTCACATTCACATACTGAAACCCCTGTCACACATTCTGTTTAAAGTTTAATATGACGCCTGGTTTACCTTCTCCTTGGGCTGATAATGCTCAGGAGCTGATGTGTCCCCAAAAGTTTCATCAGCTTGGAAAGAATTTCTGGAAATATGCAAAACTACTCAGCTAGTCTATCCATTTAGCTCCGGCATATGAGCTAAACATAGCAGGATTCAATAATGTACTGTTCACAAAGAAAATGGGAACACTGAGGATGATGCTGCATGTCAGCACATATGAGAAGGCAAAAGTCACTTTGCAATGTGAAGACTATGAGCAGCAAGGCAGTTCTGTTAACAGCATCCTCACACTCAGGATCAACATATTTGCCAAAGATGGACTTGGCAGATGGCCACACATCACAGGAAGCAATACTTTGCATGGGAACAGACTTCGGAGTGCTGTTAAAAGGGCTGTGAGTCTCACTCCTCAAACCTAGGCTCACTTTACTGAAAAACTGAAGAGATTATGAGTCTATGAAGTCCAACAATAGTGCTTATACCAAGTTATATGATACTAAGATGATGTTCAGGAATAACAGGGTTTAGATACAGGTCTATTTTTACTTTCTTCCTTCCAAATTAATACAAACATGACTTCTCCACTCCTCCTTCAAAATAATTAGAGTAACCAAGCAGTCTGTACAACAAGAAAGACAGTGGAAATTTATGGAAGAACAAAAGATTAACAATTATTAAAATTTGTCATTACATTCCATTTCAATTATGTAGAGTTAAACAATGAGCAAAACAATCTGAAGACTCTGAACTATGGAAAATCCTGAGAAAAAAATACGAGAAATTCTAGTAGACATCTTTTAAAAATTCAGCCGGTCGCATTAACTACAAACAGTGATCACAAAGCACGACTGGTTAAAAGACCCCAACCCTAAAGCACACTAAACAAGTCTAAAGTTTTATTCATTTCATTATGAGTTATCAGTAACTTGGTTAAAACCAGTACTTTTTAAAACCTTGCTGCATACCTACGCACTTTATAAAATGTGAAAAGGTTTTTTTTATAGTAGCAATTCTTTGAAACATTGTTTCTCTGCATTTTAAGAGTTGAAGTTATAGTTTCTCTGATCCTTATTAATGCTGTGAATTACTTGAATTCAAGACTGTATAGTTTTGACAATTTTTTAATTTTAACTAGTTGAAAGAAAAGTGAACATTCATGAAAGGCAAAAAATGAACAATTAGTTATGAAAATCTGCTATTGATTATGACAAATTGCTACTAGAATACCCATTCTAGTTCTTTTACTACTCTTAATTACCGTGATTAAGATTTCTGCACATCAATTAGAATTGTTTTGGTATGGCAAATTCCAATCCCTCTGTGTCTCTCAAAGTAGGTAAGCACACATGTTATTAAGGGGTTTTTTTTCTATATCTAGTATATGTAAATAAGGAAAAAAATTTCTAAGAGTATATAAAATTAAAAAGGGGCATAATTCTATAAAGTCAAAATTTACATAAAACCAACCTAGGCTTTTTTTTTCTTTTAGAGTATTAATTAGCTCAGACAGAAACAGGAAAATTAAAACATTCATGACATATGTCAGCAGCATAATTGAAATACTTAAGGATGAACAAGATTTCTATCATCATACCTAGCATGACTAAGTAAAAAAAATTATTAAAGAGAAATATATTCTAAGATAGATTTAAACCTAGGACTTGAGAAATAACCTATCTTAACCTGAAAAAAATACCCTGGATTGTTTCTCATTGAATACCTCAAATACCAGCTAACACTGTTCTCATTCTTACTTTAATTACCCTGACAGCATTTGCTTTTGTAGCCCCTGTAAATTCTTAGTATTTCTCAGGAATGCCGTTGGAGATGAGATGTAGAATACCATTGCTCTGAAACTTTCACTCTCTGAGAGTTGCACCAAACTGTAAGTTAGCGAAACTCTTCACGTCCTAAATTACAGTGGGAAACTCACAAGCTCTGGGAAAGAATATGGCCTGAAACTTTTTTGTGTGTCACTTGGGATCATATAATTTTTTCCTCCTACATTACTTCTGACTAACACTCAGGTAGGCTTTAACTTATGGCCTAGCAGTGTGCCTGAAAGAGCTATTTGGCCCTCAGTAAGGGAGAGGATATTCCAGCTTTAATAGAGTACATAAAATTCTACTTTGTGCCCTCTTGAGTCTTCCATGGAAGTTGTGGCTCACTGAGGTGGACCATAACTGTTAGGAGTGTACTTACTGCATTGAAGTTGGGGAAGAGATTGACTGCTGCAGCAGTGTCCAGAGGAAATGGAAGAAACGGTTTAATATCCAGCGATGGCTGCAAAGGTGGTGCAGGAGGACGCACTAGGGCTGGAAGAGCAGGGCTCTGGCATGTGCCACCTGCATGTACAAAGAGACAGAAGGCATTCAGCAAGTACTGTGGTTGGGGGGAGGGAAGGCAGTACAAAAAAACAACATCGAAAAGCCAATATTGAATCAAACAAATACATTTTTATTAGTCCACAAATTACTGCATTACTGAAAAAAGCATAGCTGACTCAGTGACTATTGGTTACAATTCTTTGCCAGAAATTGCTTCAGGTGTCAGTCTATCATTTTAAAAATTAGCTCACAGATCATTTATTTCCATGGATTGTCTAGAACAATAGTCCAGCATACATCTGACGTCCCTTTAGAGCTTCAGCTAGTCTCATTCTCCTATATATAACTTCAGTGCTTCATCCCTACTCTGTTGCTCAACCCTATAAAGGCAGACTACTCCAAAAGAAAAACAACAGCTTCAGCTCAGCAAAAGTCATGTCATTTGCAGACTTCTGAGTTTTTTAGTTAAATGCTCGCTCATGAAGCCAACAGCTTCAGTTTCAACATAAACCTCACAAACATGACATACCTTGTCACCTCAACAGTTGATCGATACAAATCTAAAAATCCAGACAATTTCAACAGCCACCAAAATTCTGTTTGTGGGAAGGTACCGATGAACACTTTCTGCTCTTTGCAAGGGGTGGAGCTCATTCAGACTATGTGCAGCAGAAAGCTCCTCCCAGCTAACCACCAGCTCTGTGGGAACCTAATGCAAATAAAGAAATCCTCTTGCATACTAATAAGGTGCTACCTGCTTGCAGTGGACCCTATTTTGCTTTTTTGTTTGCCCCTTCCCACAAGCTGGAAGGATCCAAGCTCATTCTCTCCTTTCAATGTCTCCTATGTTTTGGTGGCACTCCAAAACATCAATTCCCTGCTAATTAAAGACTATTTGGATCCTAGGAAACTGTTAAAATATGCCAGTGTTCTTCTAATCTGAGAGGCAGGCAACAGACTGTAAAAACTTTCTGGTAAGAGTCCAAGAAACAGTAAAAAAAAAAAATGTAAAGGGGAATTTTACCCCACTCCCTGAACAGAGACACAGTCAGACAGATCAACAGAAGGGAGAGATCCAAAATCTGTTTCTTTTTTTCCTCTCATACACACAGACACTTCATTAGACAAGTTGCACACATTCTTTAAGAGCCCAAATACAAAGTAGTCAAAATGATATATGGGATCTCTCTGTATTTGGCCAGAAAATCTGCTAACAAGGTTTGTCATTTTATGCATCTAATTGGTGGCTAACAACAGAGGATTTAATTAACCAGTGCAGAAGGTCATTCAAAGTTGTGCTTCTAGGTATAAAATCAGCTGGAGCCAAATTCTGAAAGACTGTGTTTTCCGCCAACTTTCAATGCCTTCGTGAAGCATTTCACTAAGAATCACTGGAAGAAAAACCTTACCCACTAGTAAATTAAAGATATTGGATTAGGGTTCACTCGAGTCTCATGACAGGTTTTTTCCCCTAGAGTAGAGTAACTGCCATTTTTGGAGTAATTTCTACATTTACCTGAATGCAAGTATATAAGAAATCATTTTTTAATGCAGCAGCTGAGAATATAGGCAACAGAAAAACAGAGGGCAAGCAGCTCTGATTTCCACAGCTCACTAGCATAGAATCGTCAAGCTATTTCATGGTTGCCATTGGTTTCACAATTGCTACATTCCCATGGCATTATTACAAAAACACAGTAAAAATAAATTTAACAGGTCAGAATGGTGATGAGGTAATGTTGAACATGCCAGTCACACCCTTCCTGAATAGAAAAGACCCATAAAGGTATTTTTTTTTACACGCTGGAAATACTTATTTTTTCTCATGTAAAGCTTTTACAGATCATGAAGTGAAGAAGTCACTCCTATCAAAAAAAAAAGAATAAGAAGCGTCCAGATTGCACCTGAGATTGTACAGAATCACATAGAAATTTCAAGGTGAGCATTTTCCTGGCAATAGCAAAGAATTTGAAGTTGATTAAACAATTTATAGCTCACAAATGCAAACTGAAACTGAACTGAGAAATATCAGCTGTGCTTGGGGATACAGCTCACTGGGTGTATTATCTCAGTGCTGTGGAGGAGGGCCTCATAGGTTCAGATTACGTAGAGCAACAGCAGTGGTATCCCATACTTTTCTAGGATACCAAGCCATGAAGGATGAAATATTTCTATTCTGTGATCCTTCCCTCTGGCATGACTCGGCACTCACGCACCTGCTGCTGCCAGCCAGTGCAGCGCAAAGTCATCTGGGGACGAGAACACGCTTTAAATGGAAAAATTCAGCCAGCTCTGCAGGACCTTGGCTGGGACTCAGAGCCTCTGGAACACAGTTTAAAATCTACCACAGTCCTGGCTACAGTGGCACAGAAAATTAGTATGTTCAGGAGCACAGCTGCTCTCTGTTTTTTCAATAGTGTCAGACATGTCCCTTAATGATGGAGCATGTGAGAGGCATCATGAAAATTGAGGTTTTGCTTGCAAGAAATTCTCTAATGTTTATGGTTGCAAAAATTAGCTTTTATTTCCATTTAACATGCGCAGAGTTGTAGTCTAGAATCCACAGCAGAAAAACTGAAGCAATGGAAACCATTTTTGTGACTCAGCTTAACTGATGAACATTTGGACAACCTTTGAGAATACAAATGTTAACTATTTCCAACCTAATCCATTAGCAGAGTGATGGAGAGGGGTCGAAGTCCACTGGGAAGAGTTCTTGAAGAGTATACACAGATAAATTCCAAGTGTTACTGAACATTGGATCTCAGCGAGGAACCATAACGATTACTTAAGACTCTTTTGGTGTTCTGTATGATAAGCTTCTACACAAAGACCTCTATAGATTTCCCTATGCACAAGGAACACTGCCGATCAACAAAATGAAGACGAAGGTTCAATGTCAGCCTTTTCACAAACTTCCTTCCAGAAAGGTTTGGGTAACACTGACCAACAAAATCAGGATAACCTCCCACAACACTGATGGGTTTTTTCCACAGCCTGTGCTTGATGCTCTGTGTTATTATTACCTGAAGTTCACGTAGACAACCTTGTCAAAAACTAGGTGCATGCATGGCCTGACTCAAGATAGTCCCCCCCCCAAATGTAATTACATTTTATAAGTAGGGTGCTACAATTACTTAAAATGGGAGGTTACTAATGTATCTCCTAATTCCAGTGTTACAAGTTACTGATGCCATAGTCTAAACACTAAACTCTAAGGGGGATCAGATTTTAAATGGGAGGTGAATGTTCAGACATTTGAGAAGTTTTTGTTAATAATTTTACCTTAATTTTCTTTGTAGGAAGCACAAGCATAACACAACTTAGAAGATTAATTAGCTCAGCATTTTGACCAAATTTGAAGCAATCATTCGTTTCTTCACTTTTCAGGCAATTTAAAACACAGGCAAGATAATCTCTTGGACAAAGGCAGTGGCAATACATCCAAGGTGTGAACATGCAAGTGTGAAGAAAAGTTCACCACAAATCTTTGCAACTTCCTATATCACATTGAGACAGTTTTTGAGAACTTCTCCAGCATCAACCAAACTGTGTATTTTTACATATGGATGCAGTTCTGTGTCTCCAGCTGGGACTAGACATTTTTCCTTACCCTGGGTAATCTGGTTTGCAATACAGTGTTATGTTCTAGGCACAGACAGTCTACATGGTACAAAGCCATGTGTCCAGCATGAGGTTCATGGTCTTGGTGGCAGACCTCAGTCAAGTGGTTCTCCTTCTGAAACCACTGGTGATATGAACTTCATCACCACAACACCTTTCTTGCCTAAACCAAGGGAATATGACAAAAACAGATGAACAGATGATTCCTGCAAGTTCCACCTCAAACTGTGCATTTCACAAGAAATTGCCATATTTTATTTGTTTTGAGTCAGAATGTGTATGAATACTTGAGTCCATCCTGACGCTCCCCCCCAAATGTGACTTTAAAAACAATGTTTCACTATGGAATTGAAAATAGATTTTAAAATGAGAAGTCATATAAAAAAAAAAAGAAACCATGTATCTTAAAAATGCTAAAGTTTTGATCTCAGAGATTTTTTTTTTGAGGTCACAGTTCTTTACAAAAATTTAACACCTTCTGGCAGAAATTTTGCTTTCAGTGAAATAGCATTTACTGATAAAAAACCTTCCCATGCAAATTTTTGTGCCCAGTTCACCTGAAATATTCCTTGGATCAGTTTTAGGTAACGAAGTATAAACAACTGTAAGTACTGACTCTGAAACCTGGATTAAGGGAACCACAAAAACTGAATATGCACAAAGGAAACAAAAGAAAATGGTGTTAGAGTAAACAGACATGATAGAGCAGGGAGGTTTTTACATACAAGAAAATAAATAGCAAGTTTCCTTAATTTTTCTCAAGGAGATAAAGATCCCCGTTCCTCAAGTTCCCTAATAAACAGCTCAACAGTTTGGCTACTACATATTGCTATATTTTGTAACTTGGCTATAGAGAAAGATATGTTACATCTTTTCCTGCATAGTTTTATCTCATGCACACTCTCATTCCCAATCCTTTTAAACTCAATTGCAGGTCTAGTTTCCAGAAAAGGAACCACAAGATCTATTATCAAATAGTCTCTCCTAAGGAAGAAGCTAGCCCAGATTTTGCAGACACAAAAATGTAGATAATTTTTTGCAATGCATTTGGAACTTAGAGGTATGTAAACTGGGCAGGAACTCCTAAACTAATACCCCATTAATCTAAATCTTTTGCAGTTCTTCTATCACTATTACCACCATAAACACTGAGTGAAAAAGCAAATCTCTGCAGAATTACATTTTCATTCCTCGTTACTTTGCAATTTTTTCCTTCTGGCCATGTGTACAGCCATTTTGAATACTGCAAAGACACTAAACTACAATTTCCCTTTCTTCCTGGAATCTGAGTTGGTTTGCAGGACCATAATATGGTTTCTCCCAGATATGGATATTTCCATGTTTTCCACCCCATCCCACACCTCTCTCAATATTTCCACGATAACTTATTTGAG